CCTCACCTAATCAGAGGAAGCCTTGTATTAATTCATAAAGTTTCAAGGCATATATCAGTAAATTGTTTGTTTGGGTCAGCTTGGCCTGAAAAAACAATTTTAAGTCATAGCAAAACTGGAGGTAGGCTTTAAAGCTAAAGTTTTATGAATGAACACAGGGTTTTCCCTAATCAGCGGAGATTGTGAAGTCATCTGACTGCCTCTCCACCTCAGCCAATCAGAGGAAGCCTTGCATTCATTCATAAAATGACAAGGCTTCCAATGAATAGCCTGACTCGATTTTGTTCTGGAAATGGGACGGGAAGTCCCCATACCGCTACCAGAGCACAATGCTGTATACCGTATGCAGCTTAACCTACAAACAGTTTATACAGTGTAGACAGACGCCACATAGATTAGTATAGGAAATGGTTTGTTTGGGTCAGCTTGGCCCGAAAAAAATATTTTAAGTCAGCAAAACTGGAGGTAGGCTTTAAAGCTGAAGTTTTATGAATGCATACAGGGCTTGCCCTAATCAGCAGAGATTGTGAAGTCATCTGACCGCCTCTCCACCTCACCTAATCAGAGGAAGTCTTGTATTAATTCATAAAATTTCAAGACATATATTAGTAAAGAAAATTGTTTGTTTGGGTCAGCTTGGTCCATATGAACTATTTCAAGTTATAGGAATCACTGGAATTAGGCTTTAAAGCAGACGTTTTATGAATGAATACAAGACATTCCCTGATTAGTGGAGATTGTGAAGTCATCTGACTGCCTTTCCACCTCAGCCAATCATAGGAAGCCTTATATTAATTGCTAAAATTTCAAGGTGTATATTAGTTAAGGAATTTGTTTATTTGGGTCAGCTTGGCTCGAAATAAACTAAAGTAATAGGAAAACTGGAGTTAGATCTTAAAGCTGAAGTTTTATGAAAGAATACAGGGCTTCTCCTGATCAGCGGAGACTGTGAAGTCAGCTTAACCTACAAACAGTTTTATACAGTGTCGACAGCTGCCACATAGATTAGTATAGGAAATGGTTTGTTTGGGTCAGCTTGGCCCGAAAAAATTTTTTTTAAGTCATAGCAAAACTGGAGCTAGGCTTTAAAGATGAAGTTTTATGAATGCATACAGAGTTTGCCCTAATCAGCGGAAATTGTGAAATCTGACCGCCTCTCAACCTCACCTAATCAGAGGAAGTCTTGTATTAATTTATACAATTTCAAGACATATATTAGTAAAGGAAATTGTTTGTTTGGGTCAGCTTGGCCTGAAAAAACTATTTTAAGTTATAGCAAAACTGGAGGTAGGCTTTAAAGCTGAAGTTTTATGAATGAATACAGGGCTTGTCCTAATCATCGGAGATTGTGAAGTCATCTGACCACCCTCTCCACCTCAGCCAATCAGAGGAAGCCTTGCATTATAAAATCACAAGGCTTTCAATGAATAGCCTTACTCGATTTTGTTCTGGAAATGGGAAAGGAAGTCCCCATACCACTGCCAAAACACAGTGTTGTACACTGTATGCAGCTTAGACTAAGTACAGCATATACAGCGCTGACAGCAGCCGCTTGTATTAGTAAATTGTTTGTTTGGGTCAGCTTGGCCCATATGAACTATTTCAAATTATAGCAATACTGGAGTTAGGCTTTAAAGTCGAAGTTTAATCTGTTTATATTTTGCCCTTTTTCGTTCCTCTCCCCCCATTCATCAACATGCTAATGAGATTTTTCAATAAAATCTTTCCATTTTCATTACACGCATTATTTTAAACCCAGTGATGTCATCATTGGCCCCCTGTGCTCCTCTATGCAATGCAGTCAGATCATGGCTGGCAGGGTACTGTACATAGCTTCTTGAAAACATCACAGCACCCTGCCTGGTCCTGATGGAAGCAGTGGGCTGGCTGTTGGGAGGTGCGGATGTTCCTAGGTGGGCAGCAAATGTGGAGCCTCCAAGAACTGCAATCCAAATAATGAAAGGAGCCACAACAATCAGGCTGAGGAGGAAAGGGCTAGAATATGCTGGATGTCCTCCAGCCAGGAAATGAGACGGTGCTCTATCTGACTTGCTGCAGCTTCTAATGCACATTGTGAGAAGCTCACAGTGTGCAGTGATATCAGAGTAAACAGGAGAGGAGCCGGTACAAAGGTGCAAGACTGACGGAGAGGCCGGAGGTCAGATTTGAACTCTCAGAGGCCTTTAAGCTGTCATGGGTTTGCAAGATAAATTGCTGAAGAAGCCAACAGTTTTGATCCATGCCAAAAGAACTTAAATTCAATGTATTATATTTAGACAGAAAGCATATGCTTAGCTTCTCATAATGCCAAAAGTTTGATTTCTGAAATATTATAACCCAAAATATCAATCATACCTTATATTTGTTGAGAACAAAGAACAAACATATGGGTGCAATTTCTCTTTGGAAATGGTTTTACTGTGTGGATTCCAAAGATCTTTTTTTTATGGAAATCACATTTTTTGCACCCTAACTTACATATTTTTAATATAAAAAAAATATAAATGGTGATATGTCAAATGACAGCTCTTGCTTATTTTTTATTAACATCTTGTTTCTTACAATTAGTGAAAAAGACAAGACTATGGTTTGGAAAATACTTAAAAATTATTATTCTGTTACTATTATATTATTAAAATTATTATAATGTTAAAATATTAATATTATTAATATATTATAATATTAATATAATAATAATATAACGTTACGATATTAGTATATTCATATATTCAAAGTATATTATTATTATTTCTATAATTACATTATCGCCACACCCATCCTCCCCTCATTTCCATGACATAGGGGTGTGTTCTGCCACACCCATTCTCCCCTCATTTCCATGACATAGGAGGTGTGTTCTGCCACAACCATCCTTCCCTCATTTCTATGACATGGGGGGGGGGGTGTTCTGCCACACCCATCCTCCCCTCATTTCCATGACATGGGGGGGGGGGGGGTTCTGCCACACCCATCCTCCCCTCATTTCCATGACATAGGAGGTGTGTTCTGCCACACCCATCCTTCCCTCATTTCCATGACATAGGGGGGGTGTTCTGCCACACCCATCCTCCCCTCATTTCCATGACATAGGAGGTGTGTTCTGCCACACCCATCCTTCCCTCATTTCCATGACATGGGGGGGGTGTCCTGCCACACCCATCCTCCCCTCATTTCCATGACATAGGGGGTGTGTTCTGCCACACCCATCCTCCTTAATTACCGTGACATAGGAGGTGTGTTCTACCAAACCCCTCATCCCCTCATTTCCATTACATAGGAGATGTGTTCTGCCACACCCCTCATCCCCTCATTTCCATGACATGGGGGGGATGTTCTACCACACCCATCCTCCCCTTATTTCCATGACATAGGAGGTGTGTTCTGCCACACCCCTCATCCCCTCATCTCCATGACACAGGTTGTGTGTTCTGCCACACCCAGCCTCCTCTCATTTCCATGACATAGGGGGTGTGTTCTGCCACACCCATCCTCCTCTCATTCCCATGACATAGGAGGTGTGTTCTGCCACACCCCTCATCCCCTCATTTCCATTACATAGGAGATGTGTTCTGCCACACCCCTCACCCCTCATTTCCATGACATGGGGGGGATGTTCTACCACACCCATCCTCCCCTCATTTCCATGACATAGGAGGTGTGTTCTGCCACACCCCTCATCCCCTCATCTCCATGACACAGGTTGTGTGTTCTGCCACACCCAGCCTCCTCTCATTTCCATGACATAGGGGGTGTGTTCTGCCACACCCATCCTCCTCTCATTCCCATGACATAGGAGGTGTGTTCTGCCACACCCCTCATCCCCTCATTTCCATGACATAAGGGGTGTGTTCTGCCACACCCCTCATCCCCTCATTTCTATGACATAGGTGTGTTCTGCCACACCCATCCTCCCCTCATTTCCATGACATAGGTGTCTTCTGTAGTTCACAAAGAGAAGTCAGCTGGGGCCCAGAACAACGTTTGGATTTCTGGTAGAATCAACAGATTTTTTTTTACATTGATGTGGTCCATGCTTTGTGGGCTGCAGTGCCAAGTGACGGTGGTATGGCTCTGATGTCCCACTCCTATGACTAAAATCAGGGGTGGGGGTGAAACACGTCAAAGAGCGTGGCCTTCAGAGGAGCAGGGGCTGAGGCCCAGAACAACGTTTGGATTTCTGGTAGAATCAACAGATTTTTTTTTTACATTGATCTGGTCCATGCTTTGTGGGCTGCAGTGCCAAGTGACGGTGGTATGGCTCTGATGTCCCACTCCTATGACTAAAACCAGAGGTGGGGGTGAAATGCGTCAAAGAGCGTGGCCTTCAGGAGGAGCTGGGGCTGAGGCCCAGAACAACGTTTGGATTTCTGGTAGAATCAACAGATTTTTTTTTACATTGACCTGGTCCATGTTTTGCGGGCCGCAGCGCCAAGTGACGGTGGTATGGCTCTGATGTCCCACTCCTATGACTAAAATCAGGGGTGGGGGTGAAACGCGTCAAAGGGCATGGCCTTTAAGAGTTGAAGTTCAATTGTTTGGTCATCCATTTGGAATTTTTTACCCAGTTCTCGAACAGATATAACAAAACTCTTTCAATGGGAGATCTAACAGACCAAATAGCGGCAAATAAGGAAAGTTGAGTGTTGGGGCTTACATGCACTTTACGCAGATAAGAAGTTTTTTTTTACCCATTTAAAAATACTTTCCAAAAACAGTCTGTTCCCTTCCACTCACTGTCCGCGATCCCAATTTCGCCAAAATTTTGGCAAAATTTCACTCATCCCTACTGATGAAGTTATACCTGCAATACGAACTTTCTTGAACTAAGAGTGCATACAGTTTTTGATACCAGAAAAAAAAAGTTACTTTTAATTAAGAATTTTTTTTTAACCATAGATCTGTTCTTTTGAAAAAAAGAAAAAAAAGATACAAAAAAAATGTGTTAAAAACTGTGATCTTACCATTTTCGTTTTAACTGTTGAGGCACAGCAATCACCCCCGTCGTAGTCGCAGAAAGCCCAGTTGTTTCCACCATCACAATAATTATCAGCAATAAAAGGCTGTAGGGTTGATTAAAAAAAAATGTTAAACTACCACTTAAGAAAAGATAAAAAAAAAATATATATATATATATTTAATAATAATTAAAAAAAAGAAATGAAATGAAAAGAAGGAGAAAAGAAGAAGAAAAGATCAAAAGGTTGAAAGCAATGGAAAAGCAAAAATAGATTCAAGTGTTTAAGTGTATCCTTACTGTTGCCTAGACACTCCTGTGCCATGAGGCTCATAGCTGTGTACACTCACCGGCCACTTTATTAGGTACAATTGCTTGGTAACACAAACTGCTAATCAGCCAATCACATGGCAGTAACTCATTTAGGCATCTAGACGTGGTGAAGAATACTTGCTGAAGTTCAAACCGAGCATAGGAATGGGGAAGAAAGGGGATTTAAGTGACTTTGCATGTGGCATGGGTTGTTGGTGCCAGATGGGCTGGTCTATTGTTGCTGCCAGATGAGCTGGTCTAAATATTTCATAAACTGCTGATCTACTGGGATTTTCACGCACAACCATCTCTAGGGTTTACAGAGGATGGTCCGAAAAAAGAGAAAATATCCCGTGAGCGGCAGTTGTCTGAAGGAAAATGCCTTGTTGATGTCAGAGGTCAGAAGAGAATGGGCAGACTGGTTGGAGATGATAGAAAGGCAACAGTAACTCAAATAACTACTCGTTACAACCAAGGAATCCAGAATACCATCTCTGAAAGCACAACACGTCCAACCTTGAAGCAGATGGGCTTCAGCAGCAGAAGACCAGACTGGGGGCCACTCCTGTCAGCTAAGAACAAGAAACGGAGGCTACAATTGGCACAGGCTCACCAAAATTGGACAATAGAAGATTGGAAAAACGTTTCCTGGTCTGATGAGTCTGGATTCAGCTGCGACATTCAGATGGTCGGGTCAGAATTTGGCGTAAACAACATGAAAGCTTGGATCCAACCTGCCTTGTATCAATAGTTCAGGCTGGTGGTGTAACGGTGTGGGGGAGATTTTCTTGGCACACTTTGGGCCCCTTAGTACCAATTGAGCATTGTTTAATAGCTGAGTATTGTTGCTGACCATGTCCATCCCTTTATGACTCCAGTGTCCCCATCTTCTGATGGCTCCTTCCAGCAGGATAATAATGCACCATGTCACAAAGATCAAATCATCTCCAATTTGGTTTCTGGAACATGACAATGAGGTCACTGTACTCCAATGGCCTCCACAGTCACCAATCTCAATCCAATAGAGCACCTTTGGTCTGTGGTGGAACGGGAGTGTTAGGGATCCGGGTGTGACCAGAAATGTGTGGACTGACACAGGGAAGTAGCAGGCTTCAAGAACACAGGCGTAGTCAGGGCTGGAGAGGTGGAATGGTCAGGCAGGCCGCAAGGTACTGTCAGGCTCCGCCCAACGGGATCTCTAGTGGTCCACAGCATGGGGTTTCCCAGGACACGGAGTCTAAGTCCCAGTCTGCCTTTTCACCAGAGCCCCTGATGGTGGGGATGGACTTGGTGCAAGACTGGAACCAGGTCGCGCCCCTGGGCACCCCCGGCGGTGGTAGAGGGGTCCCGCTGAGAGTGTGTGTCCGGGATGAGCCTGCTGTGAAGGGGATGACAGGTCCCGATCCGAGCGGGATGGATGGATGACTGCTAGGAGTGAGCGAGGTCAGACTAGTTGGGTCGGTATCATGCGGGCAGCGTGGTACAGGAGGAGCAAGCGGAGAATGGTCGGGGTCACAAGCCAGGTTCAGCAGGTAGTGGGCAGCATTGTAACGAGGGTCAGGCAGAGGGATGGTCAGGAACGAGCCGGGGTCAGAGCAGGAGAGGGTCAGCATAAAACAGAACAGGCAGAGTTTGGCAACAAGGAAACGTACTTACAGGAACAGGAACAAGATACAGGATACAAGGGCTCATGGGAAACATTTACACCAAGGCACAGATCACAGGCCTGGTCATTCCTTAAATACACCTGCTGTAACCAGCCCCAGGTGTTGGCTGACTGCAGAAGTGAGCTTCTGGCTGCCGAGAGCACCCGCTGGTCAGCCCCGGCACTGCAGCCCACACGGCAGGTGAGTCCCACCACCAGTGCTGAGTCCATTCCTGACAGGGAGATTGGTATCATGGATGTGAAGCCGACAAATCTGCAGCAACTGTGTGATGCTGTCAAGTCAACACGCACCAAAATCTCTGAGGAATGTTTCCAACACCTTGTTGAATCTATGCCATGAAGAATGAAGGCAGTTCTGAAGTCAAAAGGGATTCCAACCCGATACTAGCAAGGTGGACCTAATAAAGTGACCGGTGAGTGTATCTACAGTGTGAGATCATCTAAGGCAGTGGGTGTCTCTGATTGCTAATCTCAGGAGATTTGGAGTGAGATAAGGTGATGTCACTACTTCAGTGCTCACTGTTCTCCTTGCTGGAGGTAAAACTGTGCCTGATGACCTGCAATGCAAGCATCTCCCTGCTTCATCCATTTTGCAGATCTGTGCTTCCTCCACCTCTATCATTACCCCACCAGTCATCAGATCTCCTGTCTTGATGGGAGCAACTCTCACATGAGGAAGCAAAGCCCTGCCTCTACCAAGTGGAGCACAGCTTTCATAATACACATCCTTTTTAATCTAGGGTAGGCATACAGGTGGACCGGAACTCAAAAGTGAATCTTTTCTATACTATTAGGTTAAATATACCTCAACAGCACCCTAAAAAAATCTACTTTTTGTTTTTCTATATTCCTTCTGAAAAATATCCGTGTACTTCCTTGTATGTAGGGGTGCCTAGGCTCCCATGTGCCTGTAGCCTCATAGCTGTATATCTGAAGCATGAGATCATCTAAGGCACTGCTGCCTCTGATTGCTAACCTCAGGAGATTTGAAGTTAGATTTGTTTTTTTCACTGTACTGCTCACTGTGCTCCCTGCTGGAGGGAAAGCTGTACCTGATGAACTGCAATGCAAGAGTCTCCCTGCTTCATTTATTATTATGATCTGATTTTTTTTTCCATCTTTCCTGATGTTGCCTGATTATTCCTTCATCAATCATAAAACCATAATATAATCCATAATCCCATCCATCTGGAAGTCATGATAGATGAACGTTTTCCTGACTGCTCACTGTGTGCAGTGAAATCAAAGCAAACGTGTTAAACTTTGTGACTTGAAATCAGAGTGGGACTTGGTAAGGATGGAGTTCCGCTTCAAATCAATGAAATCCTCCTTTTGGCAAATTACATTTCTGTATGTCCTCAACTCACCTCGCACCTCTTAATACAAACAAGCTCCTCTGGAGGAGGATACCACTGACGTCTTCCTGTGCAAATGATTCTCTGGAAAGAATAAAATACTGAATCAAACTGTGTGTATTATGCAAAGAATACTACGGAGGAAACAAGCCGATGTAAACATGAGTACTTAGTTACTACGGTTGAAAAAAGACACATGTTCATTGAGTTCAACCAATAGAAAAATAAATATTTAACTGAAAAAATTGCATCCATGGAGCCCTAGGCCTATAAGAGTACTAAAAACCCTTATAAAGGGTGGGCCAATTTGCACAAAGAAGAAACATTTTCTTCCTGGTCCCCTAAGGCAGGGGTCTCCAAACTGCAGCCATGGCCAGGTGTGGCCCTTTACATGCCTTGGCACTATTCCTCCCACTGATACCAATGATGGGGCACTATTCTTCCCACTGACACCAATGATGGGGCACTATTCCTCCCACTGATACCAATGATGGAGCACTATTCCTCCCACTGACACCAATGATGGGGCACTATTCCTCCCACTGATACCAATGATGGGGCACTATTCATCCCACTGACACCAATGATGGGGCACTATTCCTCCCACTGATACCAATGATGGGGCACTATTCCTCCCACTGACACTAATGATGGGGCACTATTCCTCCCACTGACACCAATGATGGGGCACTATTCCTCCCACTGACACCAATGATGGCACACTATTCCTCCCACTGATACCAATGATGGGGCACTATTCCTCCCACTGACACTAATGATGGGGCACTATTCCTCCCACTGACACAAATGATGGAGCACTATTCCTCCCACTGACACCAATGATGGGGCACTATTCCTCCCACTGATACCAATGATGGGGCACTATTCCTCCCACTGATACCAATGATGGGGCACTATTCCTCCCACTGATACCAATGATGGGGCACTATTCTTCCCACTGACACCAATGATGGGGCACTATTCCTCCCACTGATACCAATGATAGGGCACTATTCCTCCCACTGATACCAATGATGGGGCACTATTCCTCCCACTGACACCAATGATGGGGCACTATTCCTCCCACTGACACCAATGATGGGTCACTATTCCTCCCACTGACACCAATGATGGGGCACTATTTTTCCCACTGACACCAATGATGGGGCACTATTCCTCCCACTGACACCAATGATGGGGCACTATTCCTCCCACTGACACCAATGATGGGGCACTATTCATCCCACTGACACCAATGATGGGGAACTATTCTTTCCACTAATAGCAACGATGGGAAGCCATTCGGTTAACTGATACCAATGATGGGGCAACTATCGGTAAAGTAGGCAACATAGTTGGGTAAGAATGCATGCTTGCAGAACAGGACCACCAGGAAGCACTTCGCCAATCCTAAAGGACCGAGGTATTCCCTGCCCTGCAGCTGTACATATACACGCCTCTTGTAAACGTGCAAATGTAAATGTGCCGGGAATACCCCGGATGCAGATGACTGGCTCAATACAGCTGGTCGCCTCCTGGTGGGCTCTCCCAGGTGGGTTTGGACTAGGATCTGAACATGCTTGAGCTCATCCATACTTGACGGGAAGGGGGACAACGTGCAGACACTTTGAGCCCAATATGCCACAATATAACATACATAGCCACCATCAGTGTCCTTCAAGTGCATCACAGCAAAATTTTCATACCGAATGTCGCTGATGTCACAGAGACTATTTGCAAGCAATTATAAAATCATGCCGGGGTATACAGTAAACCAAATGTTGCATCCCCCCAACTCCGAAAAATATATAAAAAAAAATAAAAAAGGATCAGTCAGAGTAAATGTTAACAGTCCGCAGTCCTTTTCCCAAGCCAGTCTTTAATCAAATTACAAAATGACGTCAATACAATTCAATTTTTGACGATTGGAAGTAACAACGGTCCATTTTTTGGCGTCTTCACGTATAATGTAAATAATATTATATAATACCCCCCCGAGAGGGTTAAAAGATAAGCTCGTTTTCTGCAGCCCCGGCTTCGGAGATTAGGAGAAAATTGTTAATCTATTATAGTTAGAAGACAATAAGGGTTATAGTTGGAGAGTGGGTCTGGTTGCAAGACAGCTCTCTCATTAGATAGACAATTAGCAACAACAAAACAGATGTTCCTATAGAGGCCCGCTTCTGCAACGGAGGCCACGGGATAAATGATTTCAAGATTTTGGTAATGATGAGGAACACAGAAAGAGAGGCTGGAATGGGAATGTGAATTCATACAGGAATTCTAAACTCTAGACCAGCCATTCTCAACCAGGGTTCCTCCAGAGGAGGGCTGGATCTAGCATATCTGACCTGGGGGTGCCGTAAAAAAAGTTAGGGGGATATACTGTCAACACTGCGTAGGAGCCACTGACCATCACAACGTGAAAGAGATGCAAGGATCGGTATTCCCTGTTCAATTGGCATGCTTCTGTACCATAATTCTCGACCCAGAAGTAACTTCTGACAAGTAGTGCAGAAGTGGTGCAGGTGTGAGCCGGGAACGCCAGTATGTATTAGGCTGTCATTGGAATAGGATGATTAAACAGAGCCTGTGGCCCCATATTAAGTGTCCTTATCAGGGTCCCCTTTTACATTAACAGTCCTCATTAGCATCCCCTTTTACATCAGGGTCCCCATCCAAGATCCCCCTTACATCAGGGTCCCCCTCAGAGTGCCAGCTTACATCAACTGTTTCCATCAGAGTACCCTCTTATATCAGCTGTCCCCATCAGAGTGCCCCCTTATATCAAATTTCCCCAGCAGAGTCCCCCTTACATCAATTGCACCCCTCAGAGTTCCCCATTACATCAACTGCCCCCATAAGAGTACTCCCTTACATCAACTGTCCCCATCAGAGTGCCCCCTTATATCAAGTGTCCCCATCAGAGTGCCCCCTTATATCAACTGTCCCCATCAGAGTGCCCTCTTACATCAACTGCCCCCATCAGAGTGCCCCCTTACATCAAATTTCCCCAGCAGAATCCCCCTTACATAAATTGCACCCCTCAGAGTTCCCCATTACATCAACTGTCCCCATCAGAGTACTCCCTTACATCAACTGTCCCCATCAGAGTGCCCCCTTACATCAACTGATCCCATCAGAGTGCCCCCTTACATCAACTGTCCCCATCAGAGTACTCTCTTACATCAACTGTCCCCATCAGAGTGCCCCTTATATCAACTGCGCCCATCAGAGTACCCCCTTATATCAACTGTCCCCATCAGAGTGCCCTCTTACATCAACTGCTCCCATCAGAGTGCCCCCTTATATCAACTGCCCCCATCAGAGTGCCCCCTTATATCAACTGTCCCCATCAGAGTGCCCTCTTACATCAACTGCTCCCATCAGAGTGCCCACTTATATCAACTGCCCCCATCAGAGTACCCCCTTATATCAACTGTCCCCATCAGAGTGCCCTCTTACATCAACTGCTCCCATCAGAGTGCCCCCTTATATCAAATTTCCCCAGCAGAGTCCCCCTTACATCAATTGCACCCCTCAGAGTTCTCCATTACATCAACTGTCCCCATCAGAGTACTCCCTTACATCAACTGTCCCATCAGAGTGTCCCCTTATATCAAATTTCCCCAGCAGAGTTCCCCATTACAACAACTGTCCCCATCAGAGTACTCTCTTACATCAACTGTCCCCATCAGAGTGCCCCTTATATCAACTGTCCCCATCAGAGTGCCCTCTTACATCAACTGCCCCCATCAGAGTGCCCCCTTATATAAAATTTCCCCAGCAGAGTTCCCCATTACATCAACTGTCCCCATCAGAGTACTCCCTTAGTATTATTATTATACAGTATTTATATAGCGCCAAAATGTTTGCTAAGCGCTGTACATTATATATCAACTGTCCCCATCAGAGTACTCCCTTACATCAACTTTCCCCATCACAGTGCCCCCTTATATCAAATTTCCCCATCAGAGAGCCCTCCTACATCAGCTGTCCCCATCAGAGTGCCCCCTTACAATAACTGTCCCCATCAGAGTGCCCCCTTATATCAGATTTCCCCATCAGAGTGCCGTCTTACATCAACTTTCCCCATCAGAGTGCCCCCTTATATCAAATTTCCCCATCAGAGCCCTCCTTGCATCAATTGCACCTGTCAGAGTTCCCCATTACATGCACGGTCCCCACAAAGTGCCCCCTTACATCAACTGTCCCCATCAAAGTGCCCCGTTACATTAACTGTCCCTATCAGAGTGCCCCCTTATATCAAATTTCCCCATCAGAGCCCTCCTTGCATCAATTGCACCCTTCAGAGTTCCCCATTACCTCAACTGTCCCCATCAAAGTGCCCCCTTACATCAACTGCACACATTGGGGTCCTCCTTTACATCAGTGTAATGGTAACGCATACTGAGCTCACACAAACCTATGTGGAAGGGCAAGGACACCATGTTGTTTAGACTTCATCCATGACAGTTTGTAACACAAGTTGGTGAAGAGCAGCAGTGGTTCCCTTCTCTTCGTCTAGCCAGGAAACCTCTGGTGCAATACACAACTGTTAACTGATGCCAGAGCCTTCTTATCAGACCAGGACATATACAGCCCCTCTCATGTCTATAAGCCCAATCCACCATTCCAGTCTGGAAACCATAATAAAACTGTCTCCCTCGCAAGCTGAGCAATCCTGAGAACTAGCAGACAATGGGCAATAAATACCTTAGTGGAATACACATTTCTGATAGACGGCTTATCAGCCAAGATTCTAAAACTTCATCATATCTCATAATGTCTGAAATCATGACAGTATAGCTAGAATAAAATCTTATTCACCTTCATTGTGTAGCATTTTGAACCTAAACACCCCTATGCTAGGAGGTATCAGAGAGGAGTAGGCCTCCAAACCCCTCCTATAAGAAATAGATTTCCGAGACCTGTCATATCTATATCCATTTTGAAGCTAATTTCATGCTAGACAATAATCTGCATGGTAGCAGACTGTAAATGGTAGGTATTCAGAAATATTAATACTTATAAGAAAATTGTATTTTGGACTTGGTCACAAACGCGGTGACCTCCCAGCACCCATCCCTTACACCAGATGATTGGTCAGAAGGTCTCTGTCAACACCCCCCTTGATGTCACATAAAAAAAGAGATTGCAAGCAGATTTGATGGTTCTCATCTTAACATCGACCAAGGAACACCTAACCGGATTTGAGAGAGCCACTGTACCGTTTTTGCTTGATCAATTGGACTCAGCTAAAACTAAGTACTCCGTAAGTATTCACCTTTTTATTTCTCTGTTGCTTTATTGCTTTGTAACTCCCTTTTTCTGTAAATATTTTATTTGCACAATTTTGACCTTTTCTTTATTAAACCCTATTTTGCCCTGTCCACAAGGCTTTGAACTAAAGGTCGGCACCACATTCATCACAAACAGGATCACCATCAAAGAGCCCACTTATATTATTTGTCTCCATCAGAGTCCCCCTTACTGTACATCAATATCCCCCATCAGATTCCCACTCACATCAAATGTCCCCATCAGAATGCCCACTTATATTAATTGCCCCCTCACAGTTCCCCGTTATATCAACTGTCCCCCATCAGAGTGCTAGCTTACATCAACTGCGCCTACTGGGTTTCCCCCTTACATTAGGATCCCCATTAGAGTTTGCCCACTCAAAATAACTGCCTCCATCAGAGTGCCCTTTACATCAACTGCACCTTTTGGGGCCCTCTTTACATCAGGATCCCCTTTAAGAGTGCCTACTCACATTAACTGTCCCCATCAGAGTGCCCCTTACATCAACTGCACCTACTGGAGTCCACCCTTACATCAGGATCCCCTTTAGAGTGCCTACTCACATTAACTGTCCTGATCAGAACCCCCGTTACATCAATTACCCCATCAGAGTTTCTGTTTTACGTCAAATTACCCCTACAGTGACCCCTTACATTAATTGCCCCTGTCAGAGTATTCACCTTATATCAAATGTCCCCATCAGAGTCCTCCTTACATTAACTGTCCTCATCAGAGCCCCCTTACATCAACTGCCCCATAACAGTTTCCCTTTTACATTAAATGCCCCATTAGAGTGCCCCCCCTTACATCAATTGTACCTGCCAGTGTTCCCCCTCACATTAAATGTTCCCATCAGAGTCCCTCTTATGTCAGGGTCCCTCTTCATACATCAATTGACTCCATCAGAGTGCCCACTTATATCAGATATCCCCATCAGATTCCCATGTACATCAAATGTCCCCATCAGAATGCCCTTTTATATTAATTGCCCCCTCAAATTTCCCAATTACATCAACTGTTTCCATCAGAGTCCCCCTTACAATTGCACCTATTGGGGCCCCCTTGCATCAGGATCGCGATAAGAGTGCCTACTCATATAAACTGTCCCCATCAGAGTCCCCCCTACATCAATTTCCTCATCATGATTTCCCTTTTACATCAAATGTCCTTATTACAGTGACCCCTTTCATCAATATCCCCAGTCAAAGTACCCCCTTATATCAAATGCCCCCATCAGAGTCCTCCTTACATTAAATGTCCTGATCAGAGTCCCCCTTACATTCATTGCCCCCCATCAGAGTGCCACCTTACTGTATATCAATTGCCCCCATCAAACTGACTCAAAGACAAGAGACCTGGGGAGGACGCAACTAAAATCTTGGGGAAGATCACAGCCCACCCCAGCATACCTCTAGTTCTGGGTTTTCTCCAGAGGTTGCAAAGGGTTCCTTGAGCTATAGCTGGAAGTGCCAGTGGTAGGACATCAATGAACTAGCTGTCTGTGAGGGTGGCAATCTGACCGCCATTACAATGCGGACATTCTTCCCACTAAACACATGGGGTGCATTTTTTTTGACTATCAAATCAATTTATCAGGGTTTTCCCAGAATGTTTTCTTGCAATTCAGTGATAGAAAGGGTGAATGGCAGAGCAACATTAAAAAGAGGGCGAAGGCCCACTTTAATAACAATTTCTTTGAATTTTTGGAAATAATTTTTTTGAGTAGAATGCTTCCATTTTTGGGTGCCACCATGAAAAATAATAAAATGGAGCGGTATCATTTGAAAGGTTTATAGGTGCAGCCTAGATGTGAAGTGCCCTCTGGATCTAATGGGGGTCACCCACAATTTTTTTACCATTTATTATAATAATTTATAATTTTAATTTTGGATGTAGTTATAGTAATACCCACTCGGCTTTGAATCGGGTTGCTCCTTCTCCTCCTACCTCCTCTTGCTCTTATCATCCTCTGCTCTGAAATATCTGGCTCACTGCCCTGGAAGCCTATTCTCTGTTTAATGGAATTAGTTTCAAAAACTAATAAAGATACTAAAGGTCAAGAAGAAGATCCACGTTTCTTGTTGTCAACTTCGATAGCAATAGTTGCATGAAGAGCAGAAGAGGAGAAATAAAAGATAAAAATTCTACTGGGAACAAAATACAGACTTCATGTTTCCACAAGCCCTAACAAAGGGGGCAATGTGTCCTTGTCATGATCAGCTGAAGCCACCCAATGAGTACTGGGCAAGGGGCTCTCCTGAAGAGAGACGTTCCAAAGGCAAGGAGTGGAAGAAACCTAAGAGCCCACTCATCCTCCCCTAAACTTCAAGGTATAGCTGAAGACCCACACCGTACAATGCTCCCAAGGAAGGTGAGGAAGGAACCAAAAGGCTATGCATCCAACCCCTAAACTTCAGGGTATACCCAAAGACCCACACCCTACAATCCTCCGAAGGAAGGGGAAGAAGGAACTTAAGGGCCACACATCCTACCCCTAGACTTCAGTGAAGGCCTAAAATCCACATCCTACAATCCAGAGTGAAGGATACACTGATATAAGTGCAAAGTGACATACGGTAAGAAAAATAGATTTTTAAAAATATGCCAGTGCAGGTACAGTGGTTAGGCCTTGTGACCTGGTAACAAAAATTGCCCTGGTCTTGGCCAAAATGCCTAGTCCATGAGGTGATGTGCTTCAAAAACAAGTGCTGTTGGGACCTAGTGCCCTTTTTCTCAGTGACACTAGGAGCACCCCTGGGAAGTCACTCCCAGGGGGATTATTAATACCGTAGGCTCTCTGCCTTCCCGACCCCTGGCAGCACTTCTCGAATCAGGAGGCTCTAGGTCCCTCAGAATCCTCCACACTAGGGAAATACTACCAACCCCAACCTTACCCAGTGGGCGCTTGATTCAGATTCATTGCCATGAGAAAGGTCCCTCAGGACCACCATTATGCCAACAGGGATACTATACAGCCAGCCAGCCCAGCAAATAGTCCAGAATGATGGTGGAACACCCCTACTGGACACTGATAAGAACAGATACCACACTTGATTTTAGCCAAAAGAAACGTCACATGGACAGCACTTGGGGAAATGGACTGTAGCTTTCATTTGCAAATCTCCCATCCAACAAATTCACTCTGACACTGCTTTATGGTGAATACACAAAGGGGTGGTAAACTGAGGGAGGACAATGCCTAGCAAAGTGAGGGGGTATGGTGACATTTTTCACACCAGGACCCCTAAAACCTTACCTAATCATCACTGAATATTCCTCTGTACAGTATCTGCTCTTAATATAGGGTTGACACTGGTACAGGTTTCCATCAGACCGCCTGGTTTTGGCTTCACTGTCCAGTGGAAAAATGTAACCGATCAAGACGAACACTTCAGTTGGAGGGTCCAGCAGTTGACTTTTTGTCAATGGTGACCATGAACACGTGTTCCATTTTTTTTTTTTACATAAAACACCAGTACTTTAACATTCAGTTGCTGGGGACTGACCTGAACTCTGGTTGGATTCATCCAGTGCTCCAGATACCTTTCTGTGACATTGTATGGCATTATTACCACCTCCTTTTTTTCATCATCCAAACAGGTGACATTGCATTCAGCTCCTTTAAATTATAGAAGAACAAAAAAATTAATATTAGAGTCAATACAAGATTATCGACTAACAGCCTCAAGGACTTAATCACATGTTAACATGTTGACTTTCTTTCCTCTGGAGTTTCTGTTTTTGACCCATCCAAAGTAGGGAGGGATCATGTGGAGAATATGCAGCAGTTGAGCAGGATCTCACAGGAACTTGGAGGGGTAAGTATAACAATTGTGGGGGGCGGGCGCATAGAACTATGAAAGTTGTACTTGAAAGTAAGCCCAACAAATTTTGACAAAGTGCCACACCATTGTTTTAGGTAATAAACTATGTCAACTATGACAAAGTGCCACACCATTGTTTTAGGTAATACTTGCTTCCATCAATGAAATCAAAATCCAACTGAACACAGACTGAGGACTTGATGTCAACCAGACAGTAGGTCTCTTAAAATGACAATAGCATAATGGGCCCTGATACCCACAAATGCAGTTTCCAAGGCAGGCACTTCTGCCTCTACGTTGGCCCAGCCTAGCATGTAATGATCCTCCTCTACAAATACATTTGGGGATTTTACTTTCTATGTAGGTATTAATAAGGTTCATCCACTTAACCTTTGTTATAGAGTTTCTCTATGTATGTTCTTTAGGTGTAGTAGTACAAACAACTTTGACCCTAGTAGTAAACTCTACATATGACATTTCTGAGGCTGGGGCATAATGTCATTGTGGGTGCACCTATAGGACAAATGTGAAAGGTAACAGTAAGAGGATACAGTTGTTTTGGAATCTTGTATTGCTCTGCACCTTGCCCTACCCATCTACGCCTCTTTTTTTTACCGGGTATAAGTTGTTCTGGGTGGTTGCCATCATTACTTTGTTAGATTCAGTGCAGAAGCATTAGGGGTCTTCAGCTGCCCTGAATGATGTTGGGCTTCTGGAGGAAGCAGAATGGAGTTGCCTCCAAGTAAGATTTCTCCAACTGTTTGCTTTGCTATGTAATATGACCCATATTTAGGGGTGTAAATACAGATCATGAGGAGCCATGGGAAAACTTTGAAGGGTGAAGGGACCTCCTGTCAGGGCTTGCTTCACCTGCTGGTGGCACTGTGCTTCCCCAAAGTGCACTTCCAGTGTCTACCAGCAGGTGCCTTGTAGTAGCCAGCAGATCGCAGTAATGATGCTGGCTGCTGGGAAGTTATTTAGTCCATCCTCAAATATTACAGTCCGCTTCAGTGTTTTGCCTGATGGCCTCATTTTGCTTGCTGACTCATCCTGAGCCTAGATCTTGCTCTTACCCTACATCCTGTACCCTGCTGCCTCTTATCTGCTCCCCTTTGTTCCTGATCCTAGTCTTAAATCTCCCTCCCCATCTGTTCCTTGCATCTCCAGCTTACCCTATTGATCTGTGTTCCCCTTCTTGTACATAGTTAATTTGCTAGTTAGGCTGTCACTTAGGTTGCTAGTTAGGTATTTTGTTACTGGGCTAGGGTTCACTGATATCTTTATGTTTGTTGTGTTTCCTGGTGTTTGGGTGTACTTTATTATATGTAATCTGGTCCCAGTTTTCTAGTGTGGCTGCGCAGATTTGGCCACCCCTGCTGCTGATTCCTAACACCTCCACTGGCACCCTCTGTGCCCCTGGACGACGTCTGTTGTGACGAAACACGTCGGGTGGAGTGTAGTGGTGATGTCCTCCACTCAGTCAAGTGGTAGCATCCTGTTATGCTGATATGTTGTTTCCCTTGTATATACAGTATCTTTCTTTTTTATAACTTGATGGTATGTGTTTCCATCTACACTATGGAGTTCCTCTGCTTTATTCCCCATGTTGGTTATCATCCGGCTTGGTCCCTATGGTGTGCCTTGGTGTAATTAAACTTTATAAAACCTCCAATTTCCTGAGGTCTAAGTTTCTGGCAAGCTGCTATTGTGTGCTCTCCTTGTAGGCAACCTCAGCTGTCTTAGCTGTAGTTCAGCTTTAAATAATCTAAGCAAGGAGAAATTTAAAGATAAGTGTGCTTGCATCTAAATAATAATTGTCCCTAATTATCCACAAGCGTTACATATGACCTCTACTAAAATAAAAAAGATTAGGATGAAAATGTGATAATTGTATAATAGAATGTTACATATCATTATAATCACTTATTTTTAACAGTCTGCTATATCTCTAAGAAAATGGGACCATTGGGAGGCATTTTGGGTCATGGGATGTTGTATGATAAATGTAATATCACAGCAATTATGAAAAAGGAAACATCTGGCATTATCAATAGGTGCTCCATAGTTGACATTTATGGAGGGAGTCGGACTCCAATGCTTTGACTTGTCACTTTATTAGTGCATATTGAGCTCATTCAGGTTTCAGCTACAACCCTCCGGGGAGACACAAAATTGGATTTCTGAGGAACACATTTACAGCAAAGGAACAATAATGGTTAGACTGAGAACTAGCTGTGCTGTGCCGCAAGACACGGAACGTCCCTTACCTGGCAGGACCTCGTGGTTGTGGTTTCATTTGCTGAGGAATTTATATCCCAAGCAAACGTACAATATGTTTAGAGAGGAAAAAGCACAACATTTTCCAAATGAGAGGCTCATAAAATAGTTAAAGCTGAACTCCGGCCTCCAAGTCTTGAACAGTTGTGCATGCTCCTCTCCTGTACTGAAATTACTTACTCTGATTTTACAGAAAACTGTGAACTTTTCACAATGTGCTTTGGAAGCTGCGGATAGTTAGATGGTGCCCCCCTCATTTCCTGGCTGGAGGATGTGCAAGATCATCTAGCCAAGCCATTCTCAACCAGGATTCCTTGGGACCCTAGGGTTTCTTCAGAAGTTGCTAGAGGTTCCTTGAGCTTATTTACCTCCCATCTGATGGTTCCCGGATAGTTCTATGACCAATGCTACTTTCAGGATTCTGTGGAATCCTAGGGTTCCTTCAGAAGTTGATAGGGGTTCCTTGAGCTATGGCTGATTGACCTCCCATCCGATGGTGCCCAGATAGTTCCATGGCCAATGCTACTTCCAGGATTCTGAGGAATCCTAGGGTTTCTTCAGAAGTTGATAGGGGTTCCTTGAGCTGTGACTGATTGACCTCTCTTCTAATGGTGCCTGGATAGTTCCATGGCCAATGCTACTTCCAGGATTCTGTGGAATCCTAGGGTTCCTTCAGAAGTTGCTAGGGGTTCCTTGAGCAATGGCTGAGAGACCTCCCATCTGATGGTGCCTGGATAGTTCCATGACCAATGCCACTTGGCAGAGTCAGCCACGTGACACCAATGATCTTTTAGGCTGTCCTCAAGGTTGGTATTCTAACTACCTCTGTAAGGTGGATATTCCCACTAAGCCACATCATTTTAGCAGAGGTTCTTTAAGACCTGAAAATTATTCATCTGGGGTAAGAAGGTTGAGAAAGGCTGATCTAGCCCTTTCCTGTCCAGCCTGACTGTCCCTGTACCATTCCTTTCATTGATTGGATTTCAGTTCTTTTATTCATGGAGGCTCAGCATCCCATGGTCTGGGTGGCCTGCATGCAAAAACAGCCTGCCTAGGAACATCCACTCTTCAAGACTTACCTCCACCAATTAAAGGTATTCTAATATTTGCATAACTCCTCCCAAGAGGAGTCTAAGTGAGACTGATGTTTCAATCACCTCCCACTGCCTCCTGGAATAGGGGTAGCCTATTACTTTATTTCTAGTATGGGGGGCACGAATCATGCATGCGCAGAAAGTGATCTGGCACCTTGATAGGCTTGAAGCACTGCTCCAAGCAGAGGCTAAAACCTTTCTTCACCAGAATCCAGCACGTGGGAACAGGCGTCCATTCACTTATTCCCGAAATGCTGCATGTAAGGTGTGGGACCCCGCTCTAAACAGGACCCTGTGCTCTTGGAATGTGTTAGATCATGTGACCTCGGCCAGTGCCACTCTGGCCATGCCCCATGATGCGTTTTGCCCGTCCCAAAGGGGGTTGGTCACAGAGGGCTGGTTTAGAGCCACATCTGGCACCTTGTCTGTTCACATACTTTTCTAACAATGGAAGATAATATTGCTCCTGGAATATCAACATCACATATCCCAGAAGGCATCACTTTCCTTTATACATAGAACAACATGTAAACAGACATGGCGCCAGATCTCTATCTGCGTGTGTGTGGGATTTGGCATCACCTTTGTTTACTTCCACCATTCTATGAATGAAGAAGGCGATGCTTCCTGGAATATATACGTATGATGTCTGTACCCTAGGCAGCGGGAGATGAGTGAAAGGTCAACCTCACCTAGAAGAAATTGGTGATGGAGGATGGGGTGGATCAAAAAGGGGAAACAAAACAAAAAAAAAATTTAATAATTTTTTAAGTAGATGGGGGAGTGAAAGCTCGCTCAAATGTCCTATATTGTAATGGAAAACGGTAGATCGTGAAAATAATTTTTGGGCGTCCTTGCCCTTCTTCAAGTCCACATTAAGTAAAACAGATCATTTTAAAAAATGTATCCATAATAGGAAATGTATGATCAGACCAATCAACATCTAAAATAAAGGTCTATCAACTATTATAGAGTACTGCGCTCTTCTGATTATATCCGCGTGATGACCCCAATACATATATAATTGTTGCGGGTTTCAAGTAGTTTACCGGGGTCATAGCTGATGATATCAGCCATAATCCACCTCACCAACCGCTACACATCTGCCAATCCCTTCATTGGCTCCCGACTGCCCAACGCATCAAATTCAAACTGCTAACTCTGACCTACAAAGCCATTCACAACGCCGCCCCCAAACTACATAACTGACCTGATACCCAAATACTACCCTACCCGTGCCCTCCGCTCCTCACAGGACCTCCAACTCTCTAGCTCCCTGGTCTCCTCCTCCCACACCCGATTGCAGGACTTCTCTAGGACTTCCCCCATCCTCTGGAACTCCCTACCCCAATCCATCAGACTGTCACCTACCCTCCTCACCTTCAGGCGCACCCTGAAAACCCTCCTCTTCAGGGAAGCCTACCCCACCCTCACCTAACACCTGACCTCACCTAACAACTAACCTCCTCCACTCTTCCCACCACTCCATCCCCCACAGTCATTTCCTCCTGTACCACCTTCCCCTCTCTCCTAGATTGTAAGCTCGAAAGAGCAGGGCCCTCGAACCCCTCGTGTATTGTATTGTTACTGTCTTGTCTCATATTCTGTCCCCCTTGCTACTGTACAGTGCTGAGCATACCCTTTGGCGCTATATAAATACTGGATAATAATAATAATAATCCCAGTAGCTTTTTTTCAGCCAATGACCAACTTTCTGATGAAAGCGGTCCAAGCAGCTAATTAGCCACTAGAACACTTTCAGTAGTGGCAGGAGGGGAAGTCCTTGCCCCCTCCCCAGTGCGCCCAAGAAATGATCTGACAGTGAGGTTGGCTGCTCCCAGAGGCTCTGAGACTCTATGGTCTCTGATTGCCTCTATAGCGTTGGAGGACCGGGCCGACGTCATGACGTCACATCCAGTCCGGGGTGGATGTAAACAATTTTTTTTTTTTTTTTTTAAAGCAAAAGATCAAAAAAAAATTTAAAGGTAAAAGAGAGAATAGGGGTCTTTTTGACCCCATGTCTCTCCTTAAAGAGGACCTTTCATGCTTATTTCCATTACAAGGAAAGCTTACATTCCTGTTAATAGGAATACAAGTGATTAAAAAAATTTAAATAAAATGGACTGTGTAAAACTAAAAAAAAAATAATGGAAAAAAAATTTCAAATGCTCCCATCCCTCCGTGCTCATGCGCAAATGGGAATGCATATGCAAGTCATGCACGCCTCAGAGACTCTGCTCTCTCCTGGTTCTCTTCTTACCTATCGCAGCGCTCCTTCAGTGTTACCTATAACGCTGCCTCCACTTCTTCACTCCCTCTTTCTGTAGGGGTACCTCAAGGTTCCATCCTTGGACCCTTTCTCTTCTCCATCAACACCTCCTTCCTTGGTCACTTGATCAACTCCCATGGCTTTAAGTACCATCTCTATGCTGATGACACACAAATCCATATTTCTACCCCTCACCTCACCCCTTCTGTCTCCACTCGCATTACTAACCTACTAAGTGACATGCTCGTCTCTAGGACTTCTCCAGAGCTTCCCCAATCCTCTGGAACTCTCTACCCCAATTTATCAGACTATCGCCTACTCTGCTCCCTTTTAGGCGATCTCTGAAAACCTGTCTCTTCAGGGAAGCTTATCCTGCCCTCAGATAATACTGGAATCTACTACTCTTCCACCCAGTCCATCCCCCACAGTTACTGCCTTTTGTATCACTAGCCCCTCCCTCCTAGATTGTAAGCTCCCAGGATCAGGGCCCTCCTATCCTTCTTGTATTGAACTGTATTGTTGCTGTATTGTCTCCCGTTATATTGTAAAGTGCTGAGCAAACTGTTGGTGCTATATAAATCCTGTAATAATAATAATAATATGTAAATGGTGTTTGCAGCACACATGTAAAGTATCGCCGCAAATGTCAGAGTGAGAGCAGATTTACCAAAAAATTGGGAGTTTTTTTTTGCAATTTTAATTCATTAAAGTATATTTTTTCCACAAAAATTGAGTTTGAAAAACCACTGTACAAATACCATGTGACTTACACAAATTGCAACGACTGCCATTTTATTCTCTAGGGTCTGGTAATATATAATGTTTGGGGTTATAAGTAATTTTCCATCAAAAAATAATGATTTAAACTTGTAAACAAAACATGCCAGAAAATGCTTGGTCTTTAAACTTGAAGTGGTGGAATGGGATCTACTAGTCTCTACTCCACCACTTCATGTATAAAGACGGAAGAGCACAGCACTCTATAATGCTCAAATGTCCTTTATTCCAGACAACTGGTCCATCCTACTAGAACTTGTACCTGGAAACATGTACAGTTCACCAATCCCAGTTGTGGACAGAATTATTTTTTCAAACATTTGAAAATACCTATTTCATATCCTTGTCCACAGTTAATTATTAAGGCGTCCGTGATGGAAAGATGTGGAAGTTCACAAGGACCCTTGATGGAGTCACAAAGGTGAAAACTGCCACTCCAACTTCCATCCTTTTGGCAGCGTATGACATTGTGAGCAGGGTCCTAAAGTAAAAGAAATACAATTATTTCAGTCTAAAGAACAAGTCTCACCATAAATCCACCCCCAAAAAATACCCAAATACAATTAGCTGGTAGCTGGAAAAAACTCAACAAACATTGATAACAAACATCATCATTTACTTTGTTGCTAAATCTAAAATTTGCAGATACATTTGGTGGCTTTAGAAACAGATGAACCAGCTGCCACACTAGAGTGTGGGATATTTTGGAAGATAAATTCCCTCCCCTCCCACCGCTCTCCGATGCTTTTCTGGGCTCTTCTGTCCCACCAATGACAATGGAGGTGATCGCAACATCCCTGATCATGTCTATGGTCTAGGACAGTAGTCTCCAAACTTTCTCAACAAAGGGCCAGTTTACTGTCCTTCAGACTTTGGGGGGGGGGGGGGCAGACTGTGGCCATTAGGAGTAGAAAAGGTCCTGAAGTTAGTGATGTCATTGGGAGGAATTGTGCCTCATCATTGGTCTCGTTGGTCTTAGTGCCCATTATCGGCGTTATAGGGCCCCACTGTTGGTGTCATTGGGAAAAGGTTCATCAATCCAGCTTGGATCAATTTAACTATGTATTGACCATACCTAGCTGATCCCTTTGGAACAGTGGTCTCCAAACTGCGTCCCGGGGACCAGATGTGGCCCTTTGCTTGTCTTTATCTGCCTTTGGGGCACTATTTCTCCCCCGATACAAGCCACTATTTCTTTCCTCCTATCAACAATGGCGCATAACTACTGCTACTGACGTCAACAATGAGGCACTATTTCTCCCATTGACACCAAGGATGGGGCACTATTCCTCCCACTGACAGCGTTAATGGGATACTATTTCTCCCATGGATACCAATGATGGGGCACTATTCCTCCCACTGATACCAATGATGGGGCACTATTCCTCCCACTGATACCAATGATGGGGCACTATTCCTTCCACTGATACCAATGATGGGGCACTATTCCTCCCACTGATACCAATGATGGGGCACTATTCCTCCCACTGATACCAATGATGGGGCACTATTCCTCCTACTGATACAATGATGGGGCACTATTCCTCCCATGATACCAATGATGGGGCACTATTCCTCCCACTGATACCAATGATGGGGCACTATTCCTCCTACTGATACCAATGATGGGGCACTATTCCTTCCACTGATAATGATGGGGCACTATTCCTCCCACTAACACCAATGATGGGGCACTATTCCTCCCACTGATACCAATGATGGGGCACTATTCCTTCCACTGATACCAATGATGGGGCACTATTCCTTCCACTGATACCAATGATGGGGCACTATTCCTCCCCACTAACACCAATGATGGGGCACTATTCCTCCCACTGATACCAATGATGGGGCACTATTCCTTCCACTGATACCAATGATGGGGCACTATTCCACTGATACCAATGATGAGGCACTATTCCTCCCACTGATACAATGATGAGGCACTACCACTGATACCAATGATGGGGCACTATTCCTCCAACCAATGATGGGGGCACTATTCCTCCCACTGATACCAATGATGGGGCACTATTCCTCCCACTGATACCAATGATGGGGCACTCTTCCTCCCACTGACACCAACAATAGGACACTATTCTTCCCACTGACACCAATGATGAGGCACTATTCCTGCCACCGACACCAACGATGGGGCACTATTTTCCACCAATGGCACCAACAACAGGACACTATTCCTCAAACTGACACCAATAATGAGGCACTATTCCTCCCCCTGACACAACTGGGCACTATTCCTCCCACTTACACCAATGAAGGGGCACTATTTTCCACCAATGGCACCAACAACAGGACACTATTCCTCAAATTGACACCAATGATGAGGCACTATTCCTCCCCCTGACACAACTGGGCACTATTCCTCCCACTTACACCAATGAAGGGACACTATTCCTCCCCCTAATACCAAAGATGCGTTGTTTTACTCCCACTGATGCCGGGGACAGTTTCTACTCCCAATGGCCACAGTCTGGCCCACCAGAAAGTCTGATGGACGGCAAACTGACCCTTTGTTTAGAAAATTTGGAAACCCCTGCTCTGGAAGCTGGAAATCACTGTAGTAGGCACTGCTAGTACAGTTTCTGGGTTCTGCGCCGAGCAGCTGTTGTGCTGCTCACCGAACACTAGAGGTTGTTCACATGGCATGGGCACCATTCAGAGAATGCTTTGCCTTTTCTCCATGGATGCAAAGCATTCTCTGGTTGGATGAGGTGTAGGTTGTGACATCACCACCCTGCCTCTCCACATTATCCCATCAGAGAACCTAAAAATGGATTTAGCTGATTTATGTCTTTTTGCCTTCCTCTGGATCAACTGTGGGTGTAGGATTATAACCTTTTTTTTTTTTTTTTATGGTTGAATTGGATGGACTTTTGTCTTTTTTCAGCCAGAATAACTATGTAACTATGTTGAAAGTTCAATTGAACTTTAAGAAGTTAGCACGAAATGTGCTGCATGCAGGTATACAACTCAGAAACTCACCAACTGGGTGCTGCTTTCTTCACAGGGGAGTCTACATTCACTGTTGTACTGGAATCCATGTGTGCATTGATAGAGCCCTATGAACTTGATGGGAGGCGGTTCACACATTACCGGGACACAATCACCTTTCGTCCAGTACCCATCTTTAGTGCACTGGATTTTAAATGCCTTCCTTTCCCAAAGGAAAAATTAAAAAGAATAAAAAAAAAAAAGAAAAAAAAAAAGAAAAACTTAAATGTGAGCTCGGGCTTAACAACGCATCACCGACTGTTGTTAAAAAAAAAAAAAACAATGCACAAAGCTTAGTGTCAGTCCTACTTACTTCCTTATCTTCCTAGAGGAGTCAGGCACATGGTATCCCACCTTACATTTATACTTGCAGGTCGTGCCCACCTTGTGTTTGTCAGATCGGCAGCGGGAGGTCTGCAGATCGGCGTTGGCTAGTGAAGGAGGCGCCTTACATGACAGTTCGCAGATGGCTTCGGGAAAAGACCATAGTCCATCTTCCATGCAGGTTAACACGTTGTTACCTAGAAGGAAAATATTTTAAAAATATATTAAAAAAAATTCCAAATAATGTTTTTAGTAAAACAGTAACAAAAATGATGTATCAGTACAATAAGAAGTGTAGTACAGTAACAGGTACATCATGGTATAACAAAATGAAAGAGGCCATTGTCTGATATGGTTCCTAGAAAAAAAAAATCTGAATTGGACTTTGCAGTTGCGTTGGTGCTTCAGATTGGTGAAGTATGTCAGTACCAGGTAGAAGGTAGTCAAGCGGTGCCCAGGCTCCTCGTGCCTCCCTCACACCAGATCCTCCAGAGTAAAGCAGTCCAGAGGCATTGGCCAATGTGGAGTAAATGAAGCCGACTACTCGGTAACAATCATTACATTAATTCTTAATTGGCTACATGGCAGGATACAGCAGTGAAATGCTAACGCGTTTCAGCCAAAGCCTTACTCATAGCATATGCTATGAGTAAGGCTTTGGCCGAAACTCGTTAGAGTGTTACTGCTGTATCCTGCGATGTAGCCAATAAAGAATGAATGTAATGAATGTTACTGAGTAGTTGGCTTCATTGTATTGGAAGGATTACTGCTACATTTCAGAGACATTTGGGCCAGAGCACCTTCTCTCAGTCTCCCATGTAATTTGCGGTAGAGTATTTTTTCTTTGTAGGCCTCTGAATGTGGAGTACATACCAGAGTCTGCCATGGGAGGTCTGGGTGTTTATTAGTTTTGCAGATTGGAAAATAAAGGGGGGTAAGGGGATTAAAGGATATATGAACATAGGAGAGGGAAGGGGTGTGGTGTAGGTCGGTTGGGACAGGGCTGTGAGGGTGCTAGAGGCGGGATGTCTTTAGGGGTTGGAGGGAGCTTGAGAAGTAGTGTAGGATGGGGTACTATATACCCCTTATCACTCCCGTAGGGCATTGGCCCAGGAGTTGAGGGCCTTTTTATTTTTAATGGAGGCTTCCAGATTCTGCTGAGCCAATGTTGTGGAGAAAAGGCCCTTGTTCTCTCCAACATGGGGACAAGATGCTTTGACTGGGGTTCCCATGGAAGGATTACTGCTACATTTCAAAGTCATTTGGACACCGGTTCCCAGTCTTCCATGTAATTTGTGGTAGAGCATGTTTTCTTTGTAGGACTCTGAATGTGGAGTATATATCAGAGTCTGCCATGGGAGTCCTGGGTGTTTATTAGTTTTTTAGAGTGGAACATAAAGGGGGTAAGGGAGGTTAAAGGGAACGTATGAATGTGTGGTAGAGGGAGGGGTGCAGTGGAGGTATCTGGTAATGTGGGAGTCGGTTGGGGGAGGGCGAGATGTGATTATGGGCTGGAGAAGTGGTGTATGATGGGGTACTATGTACCCCTTACTCATTCCTGTAGGGAATTGTCCCAGGATTTGAGTGCCTTTTTATTTTTTATAGAGGCTTCCAGATTCTGATGAGCCAAATGCTGTGGAAAAGAGGCTCTTGCTTTCATCAACATGGGGACAAGGTGCTTTAGACTGGGGTTCCCCTGGCATAGAGGTTACCTCATAACCAGGGGAACTGACATAGATGTCTCTGGCCCATTTCTACCATCAGGAGTTCTGGTGAAGCCCCACTGGTAGTTAGACTTTATGCCCTAGGAAAACCCATGTAATCTGCCAGAAGCTATCGTAACAGTCCTAAATGAAAGCTTGCAACATTATTTTAGCCAATAAAAGGTATCACTTAACCACCTCCCACCCGCCATATAGTAATATGACGGGTGCAAGGTGGTTCTCTTGTTCTGGGAGGATGTCATATGATGTCCTCCCCTTCTCACTGAGCATGCACGGCTCAGGGAGTGCATGCGCAGTGTCCGAGGGACACAGAGGGACACAGCAGATCACCGATCACGGAAAGAGCCGAAGATGTCGGCTCGGTCATGTGATCAGCTCTGTCCAATCACAGCTGATCACATGTAAACAGGGAAATGCCGGCTATCGGCATTTCTCTCCTCTCGAGCTGACAGCTCGAGAGGTGAGGAGAGCCGGTAATCGGCTTTCCGCGGAGGGGACATGTACACTGATCATCAGGGCACTGATCAGTGTAGCCCCAGCAGTGCCACCTGTCAGTGTCCATCAGTGCCTTGTGCCAGTGCCCATCAGTGCCACATATCAGTGCCTACCAGTGCATATCAATGCCACATATCAGTGCCCATCTGAGCTGCCTTTCAGTGTCACCCATCAATGCCAGTCAGTGCCACCTATCAATGCCAATCAGTCCCACCTATCAGTGCCAGTCAGTTCTGCCTATCAGTGCCCAGTCAGTACCGCCTATCAGTGCCAGTCAGTGCCGCAATTAGTGCCAGTCAGTGCCGCCTATCAGTGCCCGCCTATCAGTGCCATGTATCAGTGCTGCCTTACAGTGCCCATCAGTGATGACTGTCAATGCCCATCAGTGCCACCTACCAGTGCCTCCTCATCAGTGCCCATCAGTGCCACCTATCAGTGCAGCCTATCAGTGTCCATCAGTGCAGCCTCATTAGTGCACATCAGTGAAGGGAGAAAAATCACTTATTTACAAAATTTTATAACAAAAACTAAGAAAAAACATTTTTTTTTCAAAATTTGCAGTGGTTTTTGGTTTGTTTAAGAAAAAATAAAAACACCCAGAGGTGATTAAATACCACCAAAATAAAGCTCTATTTGTCAAAAAAAAAATGATAAAAATTTCATATGGGTACAGTGTTGCATGACCGTGCAATTGTCATTCAAATTGCGACAGCGCTGAAAGCTGGAAATTGGCCTGGACAGGAAGGGGGTATAAGTACCCTGTAGGCTAGCGGTTAAACTACAAATGTTCCACATTATTTGGTTTTGTAATGGTAGCTACAACAAGAAAGAGCTGTGGAACCTAGTGAAGATATCTCACCCATGGACTAGAAATTAGTTAATGTTGACATCAATGATAAATCATTGGAGATGATCTTTTAACTCTGTTGAGACTGAACCCCACACTGTACATGAACACAGAAATTCACATATAAAAACATCCATGGAAGCCTTTAGTATAATGTGTGTGCTTATTGCAAAATATAACATAAATTATCCATCCATGTGAAAAAATACAATATACATTTTTGCAAATATATTGAATAAAATTTGTTAAAATGTACTAATATCTTTAACCCATGCTGAGAAAATAACAGAGCTACAAATACCTTTAAGTATCGCAGGAAGCTGACACTGAAATGTACAATTCTTTCTGTAGGTGGTTCCATGTGAACAATTAAATGTTGCGTGGTAGATGTGGTTCTTATCAGGTGGGCCACAGTCAATGGGTTCACAAGACACCTGTTTGTTCCATTTCCCATTTGTGCATGTTGTTATTATTTTGGAATCAAGCTACAATAGAAGAATACATAAAGAACATATTTTAGATTCTGCAGGTAAAACAGTGTGGTGTAATTAATAAATGAAAACAGGTTGTTCACTTTGCAAAGGAATTTTCAATTTGCAGGGAAATGTTTTCTTCGTTTAGTGAATGGAGTGAAGGTTTGATGAACCTATTATTTACTTACAGAGCAGAAGAAAGAAAAAAGAAGGAAAAAGAAAGAAGAAACAGGAAGAAGAAAAAGGAAGAAGAAGAAAGAAGAAGATGGAAGAAGAAAAAAGGAGATGGAAGAAGAAAGAAGAAGAAGAAGGAGGAGGAGGAGGAGAAGGAGAAGGAGAAGGAGGAGGAGGAGGAGGAGGAGAAGGAGAAGGAGAAGGAGAAGGAGGAGAAGGAGAAGAAGAAGAGAAAACAGAAGAAGGAGATGGAAGAAGAAGAAGAAGAAGGAAAGAAAGAAAACAGAAGAAGAAGGAAGAAGAAGAAACAACAAAAAGGAAGATGAAGAAGGAAGATGAAAGAAGAAGAAGATGGAAGAAGAAGAAACAACAAAAAGGAAGATGAAGAAGTAAGATGAAAGAAGAAGAAGATGGAAGAAGGGAGAAGAAAGAAGAGGAAGATGAAGAAGGGAGAAGAAAGAAGATGGAAGAAGGGAGAAGAAAGAAGAGGAAGATGAAGAAGGGAGAAGAAAGAAGAGGAAGATGAAGAAAGAAGCAACTAGAAGAAGAAGGAAGAAGAAGGGAGAAGAAAGAAGATGAAGGAAGATGAAGGAAAATGAAGAAGGAAGAGGAAGTAGAAGGGAGAAGAAGAAGTAGAAGAGGAGGAAGTAGGAGGGAGAAGAAGAAGAAGAAGAGGGAGGAGGAGGAGAAGGAGAAGAAGAAGAAGGAGAAGAAGAAAGAAAACAGAAGAAGATGGAAGAAGAAGAAGAAGAAAAAATAAAGATGAAGAAGGAAGATGAAAGAAGAAGAAGATGAAGAAGAAGAAGGGAGAAGAAAGAAGAGGAAGAAGAAGAAGAAGAAGGGAGAAGAAAGAAGAGGAAGAAGAAGAAAGAAGCAACTAGAAGAAGAAAATAGAAGAAGAAGGAAGAAGGGAGAAGAAGGAAGATGAAGAAGGAAGAGGAAGTAGAAGGGAGAAGAAGAAAAGGAAGAGGAGGAAGTAGGAGGGAGAAGAAGAAGAAAAAGAAGAAGTAGGAAGAGGAAGAAGAAGAAGAGGAAGTAGGAGGGAGAAGAAAAAGAGCTACTATAGAGGAAGAGTTACTCAACCA